TCTAGGCTTACTGTAGGGTAAAATGTACATGAAAAAGACAGACTGCACAGAACTTAAAAAACAAACAAACCACGCACACAAAACAGTCTGACACTGCATATTGCCAAGCAAAATATCTGTTAGAAATAGTGCAGGATGTTGTTTAAAAGCACAACTGAGGACAGCATGTACAATGACAACACAGGGCAGTTCACAGTTATTTATTTTGAGGTGTATCTTTCTTCATTTAAAAGAGCTGATTGACACAAGAAAACCAACTTTTGCTATAAAGAAAGAGTAATTAAAATGGAATTTTGTTTTGTTGTAGTCAAGGCCCATAAGTCATGGTGATCCAGCTTAGCTTTCTTGGTCTGGAGATCAGAAAACAGAGCGAGAAAGAAAGATAGCTAACACTTGGGAAGCAGCAAACTTGCGCAATAGAATCCTCTTTAGTAAAGCAATCAAAGACCACAATTACCCAACTCCTGTACCCCAGTTACTAACATTTCAGATTTGTTTGCATATATGGCTCGATTGAAATGCTTTTTTGTATCCTTATTAAACCATGCTATAAAACGGTGTAGAGAGGCCAGGATAAAAAAGTCATATACTAAAAGGGAGTTATGAATTGACTGACTGCATTTCCGTTTTCTGAGTCAAACATCAAATCCAAGATAATCAACAACTGGCTTTCAGTAAGTGATGAACTGTGGCCCTGGTTCCAGTTTTTGGACTGCACCCTACTCCCAAACATAACTTAGGGCAGGTCACTATCTACATGCTACAGACCCGAATTTGAAAGATGGGAACAACAGTACAATCCCCAGCCACCACTTGTCTTGTTTCTCTAAATTATAGCATCCCTCACACCCAGTTCCTCCAAGTACAAAAGTAGGACAGTAGTAGGACGTACTTTTCAACCTCATTATTCAAAACTCAGAACTTTAAATTAGGGGTGCACCAATATATCAGTTGGCTATTGGATTGGCACCAATAAAAGGAGAAATGACATTAATCGGGTATCGGCTTTTTTCTGGTTGTTGTAGCTGATGATTACAGCCGCGTACCCAAAGCACCCTAGTGAGTGTAGTCTGGTCCCCACACTCCGCCATCAGCCTGAGTGCATGGCAGACTCCAGGTCTTGGCGAGCAGAGGGGAGGGGAGGGGGCCCCCGCTGGGGAGCAGTCACAGGGTGTTGCGCTCAGCAACAAAGGGACTGTTACCAGCTCCTGCTGCTGCTGTCCCGGCAACGCCACGCATGCAGCAGGGGCCTGAGCACGGGGGCTGCCGCAGAGACGTTGGGCTACATGTGGGCAGGGCAAGGTGCTGCACAAGGGACATGCCAATCTGCTGGCCACTGGGCACCTTTGCAAAAGTGGCTTCTCCCCAGTGGCTGCAAGAGTTCAGCTGCGCAAAGCATGCTGGTGCTGATGCAGTGGTGTGCTCTGGGGCTCCAAACGCACCCAGCACCACTGTCTACATAAGGACCCACCCCACATGGCAGCACAGGCTGTGAAGGGAGCAGGGCTGTGGATAGGAGCCAGAGGCAAGGGGGTGACTTGTATAGGAATAAGGCAGTCACTGCCATCCTCATCAAGGGCCAGAGCAGTCAGGAAGTGTGTGCGTGTGCAAGAGAGAGAGAGAGAGAGAGAGAGATAAATGCAAAGACAAACAAAGAAGTACTTTAAAATGCCTTGCACTATTACTAAATTATCAGTTATCAGATCAGCATTGAATGATATGGTTGGTTAAATCAATCATCAGCTATCGGTATCAGCCAAGAAAATCTTTATCAGTGCACCCCTACTTAAAATGCCTCATGCCTTGTTGGCAGGTGATAGAGCTTTCCCTAATTAACCAGAGACTGAGTTAAGACTCTCCCTGTTAAATAAGCATTTAACAAACTCCTGTGCAGCTTTAGAGCTCATTCCCTTCCTCCCCCAACTTCCTAATAAAAACTACCTTTATTCTGAAGCTTTGTATCCGTCAAGTGGGCATTATCCTAGTTTTGGTAGGAAGAAGCTTCAGAAGGCAGAAACACAGAGGTTAAGTGACTCACCCAAGCTCCCACAGCAAAGCTGTAGAAGAGAAGAAAACAGAACACTGGTTTTTAATTATATCCCAGGCATGGGCTTTAAACTCAAACCTATTCTTCCTCTATCCATCTTCATTCACCAGTGTACATTCAGCAGTGCCTGGAGACATCTGCAGTGAGAAGTAAGGGGTACAATAGCATGTCTTCTTGATGAGACACAGGACTTTGTTCATTTGAAAGGCCATCTTTAGCTGAACAGTCCAGATCACATTACCATGGTGATTCAAAGCTGCTTCAGCCTTTTTGATCAGTTGTTCATGGAATTGTTCCCAGCTGTTGACTAGGTTAGCGTCTTGGAATTAGTTGCCTAGAAACCCTATTTTAAAAATGACAAGTCAGACCAAGTAGGTCAGAGTCCTCAGAGAGGGTTCTGTACCATTTGGAAGCAAATTCCAGCTTGTTTCTTCTGTAGATGTGCTGAGGCTAGTCAATGCTGTAACAGCTAAATGATAGCATACGCTGGATGATTCAGGCAAAAACCATTCCACAAACAAAAATAGTTGTTTTAACCTCTGAGTAGGCCAATCAATGCCTATAGTATCATCCTCTTGAAACAAATTCTTTAGTCCTGTGGTTTAAACTAATTTCAAGATCCAGTATCACCCACAGCCTGTTTCTTAGGTGTCTCTAAAGGTGCCTTTCTAACTTATCTCAGAGCCACAGGAAACACAGGGTTTACTTCAGAGCCATATTCGCCTACTCGCCTTTGGGGCAGTACATCCTGAAAGATGTAACAGAGTTTGGATATCAGACACCACTGCAGATTGCACAAGCAGATGCTTCTGATCTATACTGGCTAACAGAGCCAGCATACAAAAACTGGGTTAAATCACTGGTGTTCTTGCCAGTGTCCCTCCCCTACCCACATTCATTATCTTATATGCCAATCCAAGAAAGAAGAAGAACCGTAGGGGTCTGGAGATCCAACTCCAGATATTAGAACCAAAGCAGGTGTATGAGAAAAGACCAACATGATCAGGGATGCTTAGAAAGATGAGTAAAAAGGGACACAAAGGCACTATGAATTGGATAGCTACAATAAAGCAGGTAGCCCTGTTTGTCCTCTTATAGAAGTACAAGAAAATACCCAATAAAACTGAAGTGTAATTAAAGTTTATGGTTTAGGTTTTTTTAAAAAACCACATGTAGTTAACCTGGAGCCAAGAGTTACCTGGGATTCTAAAGAGATGAAGGCCCACAAAACGGGTCGTTCCACTTTTATACCTAACTTTATTTTTATGTAAGAGCTAGACAACTTCATGCTCCTGGGCTGACAGTTAACAAGAGTGAGTAAAAACATTCCCTATAGCTTGCTCCACAACTAGCCTGCCATAGTCTTCTTGAATTTATCACTACAGTATTAAGTGAAGGACATTGGAAAACATGGGGCACTTAACTTCTGCAGCAATTATACCAAAATCAAAATGCACAGAGCCTGAGTTTTCTACATTTCCCAGCATTTGAGTCTCCAGGCTCAGAACAACCTAATTGAAGTGTTAAAACCGGGGTAGCCAACCTGCAGCACGTATGCCCCAAGAGGCACGGCTGTGTGTGGTACATAGCAGATTGCTGCTCTGCTGTGTGCTCCCTTATCTATCTGCTGCGGTGCTGCCTCTGCTCTAGCCAAACTGGGTAGGGGAAGGGGAAACAGTGACATACCCGCCTAAAACATTATCCCCCCGAATTCATTTAAATATTTGTCTGAAGGAAAGTTGAGACTGCTTACAAGATGCTTAATCATGTCCTATGAAGGATTCTTTACTGCCCCCACCCCACCCCACCTACACCACTTGCTGGGGCTAAATGGAAGTAGTCAAGCATGGAGATAAATACAGCATCAACCCCACTTCAGGAGTCCCAAGTAGTGATTGAGAACTGACATATCTAGGGTGCCAGAGGAGATGTTACAGCTTCAGAGAAAAGAATGAGGTTGAGGTTCCAGGGGCTCTCTCCACTCCCCATTTACCTGCCTGGACCATGATGTTGGAAGTGTTAAGAGTGGGTCATGAGAGACCAGCAAGATCCAGAGGAAGTCTTCTCTCTTCTCGCTGGAAACACAAAGAAGCTACTATGGCAAACAAGAAACTGTTTGTCTATCCATCTGTCTGTCCTCTCCAGTGGCCTTCCAAGCAGCACACATGGGGAAGCGATAGTAGGTTTTTTTTGCCTACCAAGTTTAACCTGGACAGACAAACTAGGGAGAGAGGAGAAGTAAGAAAAATAGTGTGCCATTTCCATCTTCTGACAGACTTGAAGCCTTTGGGAAAAGGAAGAGACCACAAAGAACTACAATAAGATTTGACAGAGTTCTTTTCCCATGTAATTTCTGGTGAAATAAGATATGGAACTATGACTCAGTGGTATGACTGTCTGAGATTAAAAGATAGAGTGGTCCAACAAGTTAATTCTCTTCCGAAAGGAAAGAACTTTAACATTAGATGATGGAAATGTTAAGAGCTCCCAAGTCTATCTGCCCCCTGGTAGATCATCAAATCAAAGCTGCTGCTACCAGGACAGATTCAACCATCAGATGATTTGGGCGCAAGAGCTGTGAAAAGTTGCTCGATGGCATGGAGTTTTAGCTACTTTAATTCTCATTTAAATTCATTTAAAAACAAAAATTTTGGAAGTTTGCTCTTTAACGCTGAACTTTCTGGGAGCCGACACAGGCAATTCAGCAACACAACTACAATCCAGTAAAATATCCACAGTAAAACCTTCACACACACACACACACACACACACACACACACACCCACCCACCCACCCACCCTGATTTGGTGTTTAATTATTAATTCACACCAGATCCATAGAAGTATTAGCTGAAAGATTTGTCAATGTTTACTAACCTGTCAAACGAACATGACTCAACTTCTGGTCTTGAGTAAAAGCCAGGAAAGTTGGTGGCTTTGCATATTTCTGATCTGTAGAAATCCACAGTACTCAAAGTCAGATGGTAAACCTGTGTAGGATTTCTAATATGAGATTGAGGGATTACATTAGCACAATATTTCTGCTACTTCTGCACCTTGGTCTTTAAAGCATTTAAAAAGTTTTAAAACTTTCTGCAGTTTGAATGGGGAAAGAAAAAAATAGACACATAAGCCTTTAATAGACAGCTTGTTTAATGGATTGATCCTGCTCTCAGACCTACTATAAGAACTATAAACCTGCTACAGAGCAACGACTATGGAATACAACATTCTTCAAAAGATATTTATTGAGATGCCAAGCTAGCACTTTGAAAAAAAATAAAGTAATTTAAATACCTACAGAAGCTTGCTTGATGGGACAGAAATCTTGTCCCTCGATATAGATTTTAGGGGTAAACACTGGGTACAAATACAAAAGCTGTATTTTATAAACCGCATGACTTCATGTCATCACTTTACATAAAAGTGAATGCCGAAATTCCAACTCCACCTCCCTCCAAGGCAGCACATTTCCTGCCCTCCTGGTTATGGGGAAGAGATTGAAAACATGATTCCTAGAAAATAATGATGATGAAAAGCCATGGTGAATGCTTAGAATTATGCAATGCCTAGAAAGTTTGGTGAGGCTTTAGTAAGGCTTATTCACTGATCTACTCTTTACCCCTGCTTTGATTACAGTGATAACAACCATGATACACTGTATACCTTGCTAAGAGGCTGAAAATGAGGCTTGTTAATAATTTTAGATAGTAGTTTAACAGGCATTTCTTGTACAGCTAAACCACTAGAGGGCATTCAGATTTGCCCTCTGAAAACAGGAATCAGCCTGAATGTCGCAGAAGAGCAAGAGGTAAGCCCATAACAAAAGATATGGGCTATGACTAGCAAAGAAAACAAGCTTCAGAGTCCAGGTCCCATGCTCCCAGACAAGACAGATCCTCCTAAATAAGAGGTGAGTAACTGTTTCAGCTGGTGGGCCACTTAATGAGTTTTGATGAGCTGTCAAAGGCTGCACGCAGTCTTTCAGCAGGTATCATTTTAACAAGTTATAGGTAAAAACAAATCATATATTAACCAAACATCTACCAGAACATACTTTAATTATATTTCAAAAAATTTATTTTGTCCTGATTTATGTTTGAGTAGTATATATAGAGGCGATTGCATAATAGCTTAAAATAAAGTCTTACTCTTGTATATTGTGTGGGAGGGTGACCAGGGTGGGGGGGGGAGGGGCTGCCCACATGTGTAGGGAGGGCTGCCCATGTGCTGGTCCTGGAAGCTGGCCAGGGGCATGGGGGGGTGGGGTGGAGAGGAAGAGGGGGGGCGTGCAACAAAGCTGGCTCAGGCTGCACGGTACAGATATAGTCCACCCCCTTTCCCTCCCATCTGGCTCATGGATGCCCCTGCAGCGCTGTGCATGGGGCCGAAACCTACCCACTCCGGCCCAGGGCAGCCTGCACTGCACTCCCACTCAGCCACCAACGGCACCACCCTGGCCCCAGCCAGCATGCACAGCTTCCCAGTGAGGCTGCCTTCCACCTACAGGTGGTTGCTCATTGTGCCAGGCAGACAGAGTGGGTGGAAGGCAACCAGGAGCTCAAGCTGGAGCCCCACACACAGAGGCAGAAGCTATCTGGCTGCAACCCCTCACTGCCCCACCTGCATCTGCGGTGCCTGGCATGTAGACCCATGACCATCACCACTTTCCCACACTACCCGCTGCCTGGAGCGGCACAGCTGGGTTGGTGGAGAAGGAGGTGCTGCTGCAGGCAGTGGGGAGCCGAGCAACACTTGGGCAGCTGCAGCAGCAGCTGCAACAGCAGCAGGAGCAGCCCTGCCAGGAAGCTGTGCATGCTGGTCAAGACTATTAGTGGGCATGGGGCAAGTGTGGGCCAGAGCACAGCACGGGCTGTCCTGCCCAGGGCTCAGCTCTGTCTGCAGTGCTCTGTATTGGATATAAAATCAAGTGGCAGGCTGGATCTGGTCTCCAGGCAATACTTTGCCTACTCCTGTCCTAGATGCTCAAGGATGGGGACCCTTTGGCTGACCTCAAATCATCCCAAAATCTTTGGTCTCCAAGATTTGCCTTCTATTGCTGCATAAATAGCGTTATTTATGAGTCTTTTGCAGCAAAAGCCAGCACTTTGTATGCAAAGAAACACACACCTTACTAACATCAGCCTTCTTCCCAGTACCTGTTCATTGCTATAACTTGACACAATACCCTATGGGCCCATTCTGATGGATTTGTGAAGCACAAGGGAACCCTGTGCACTCCCTGCTCCATTGGAAGACAGCAACATTGTTCGATTCCCCTCTGGGATAAATACTACATTCTATTTGTTCCAGATCCACTTCCAGCATCCCAGTGAGTGCCTTGATCTCAGCTGCAAAGGGAATGCCTTGACATACGGTATATACACACCCGTGACAAATTTTCACTTTCATGGACTACAAACCTAAACAAGGCGAACTGAAGGCAGACTGACAACCCTGGCTTTTAGGTATAACAAGCAACAGATGAGTTTAAGAAAAGCCCAGCTCTCAGCTGGAGCATCTCACTGTTCAATTTCAAGAGAGCACTTTAAATTTGACAATGGAGAATAAGAAGCAGCTGTCAAGAGCCAAGCGGACCCGACACTGGGGTTTGTTTTAATTTACAAGCTCCTCTTTGCTATGGAATCCTCCTCCAAAAAAAGGGAGGTGGGGGAGGCCCTAACTTATCTAGTCTTCCTGCAGAAGGCAAGTGGTCTCCCAAAGTTCCCAGATGCTATTTATTCACTCCACCTCCCTTTCTGACACACTGCTCCCATCAGAGCCTCTTGATGCACTGCAGCAGCAATGCATCACAAATTTATTGACTTTAAGCTTCAGATATGCACCATCACCCAGACCTGTTCCAGATCTAACCTAGTTTCAGCCTGCCTTAGAAGTATAAAACTACTTATGTTGAAGAGCAAGCCATCTTGATCCTCCCTCCTCTTCCTCTCCCCCTTCTTTTTGCAAAAGGCATCATTTGCTAATGGCACAATTGCTGTTTTGAGTCTCTCTCTTCCCCACCTTCACCTGATGCAAACAAGAGAATACACTATACAGTGAAGGTCTTGTGGTACGGGGGGGGAGGGGAAAGTGTGTGGGCAAGGCACACACATGCCATTTGGAATGTTCCTGTTCAGCAAACCTATGATCTTCATGCAACTTGCCATTGAGATCCAAAGACCACAGGCAGTCCCTGATATCCAGCTCTGTACTTCATTAGTTTCTTTATACATGCAACGAATATCCTTTATACATAATATCCTTGATTGTTTCCTAATATATTAAAAAGTTATGATTTTATGGATGCTGTAAAACACACCCCAAATCAACTCTACTGTTATGGTATTCTAGGCCCTGTTGGGTCAGCTTGATATCAAATACAATGCTATCACCTTCTGATAGACAATAAAGAAAAGTCAAGTCTTGAAGCCTCACAAACTCAAGCTTTTACAGAACTGGGAATGAGACAACTTCCAGTTATCTGTACAAATACCCAACTTTATGCATTTACTCTGTAATGGCATCTAGTGCTTCTGTTTCTTTCTGATACATAATGTCATTTTCTTGTGAATACCGTACCTGTGCCAGTCATGGATATCCTTAAAGTTCAAAGCTTGAGCTGCAGCCTTCCCAATTATACACATGACTGTCCATTCCCATCCATCGTAATAGAACGGATGTTTCATCAATATTTGAAATGAATAAATGAGAATAGACCATTTTTTACCTGAATGCTCCCCATCACAGAAACCAGAGACTAAGGATTATTTTATTTAGCTTGGAGGTGGGAAGAAACAAGAAGTAGCCTGAAAAATTCTCATACATGTGAACAGCTTTCCCTTATAGTGGCACAAATTATTTCACAGTAATTTTGGATGCCTTGTTTGAGACAGCCAGGTTCCAGCTATGTCAACACAAGGAGATATTTACTGGTGCAGCAACATTAGCAAAGTACTCCTAGTGCACATACAATTGAGCAGACAACGGTGCCCTTTGTACTACTATAGTAAACATACTGCCCCTCCCAAAGGGGAACTAAGCCATAAAGCTAGAGGTTTCTGCCAGGACAGCTATGTCATCAGAAACCTCAGTGTAGATACAGCTTCACACATTAATACCCATGGATTTATTAGTGGAAACCATCCCACAAAAAAGATTCAGAAGTCAGTGTCCATGTTTAAGAATATTGGAACATTCATCTAATTATTCAGGCCCAGAGTTGTTTTGGGTACAACATTACCTTCCTAATACTTTATTACAAGTACATGGCCTAGCTCTTCCCCAAGGTCTCACCATCCAGCTTAAATGGGTTTCCACAAAAAAGAAATACAGATTTTAATCCGTTTTATAACATGCAGCCAGTTTTGGAGGAGTGGAGGGCTCAAGCATCTCTGAAGCTAAGCTAAAATTACTCAGATACTACAACAATAATGTAGCTTTTGGGAGAGGAAGGGAATCATTTACTCTAAATGAAATGGCAAGTGGAACTTAGTTGAGAAGTATCTAGCTCACTGTTCATATAAAGGCAAATGAATGATCATATTATTTTGGTGGTTGACCAGGATACAGGGCTATCATGCTAAAGAGAACTAGTACCTCCAGTGACCACAAGTGACCAACACAGCTGTTAAGTCTTATTCAGAAAATAAATGTATCCAGTAGCATAGCTGCCTGTGCCATCTCAGCCAGCTATTGGTTTTGTACATTTAGATGTGCGAATGCTATCCAGTCACCAACACCACTTTGAGTATCTAGGTTTTGACCACAGGTCTCCCTTCCAAGTACTGACCACATCCAGTACTGCAGCTAAGAGCCAAGAAAAGGATCACATCCAAAATTGCAGCTGCAGAACATTCAGAGTTCTTTCAGGCAACAAAGCAGCAATTGATTGTGCACCAGAACATGCCCCAAAGACAGTGCCCAGTTGCTACAATTCTGGCTGCACTTAGTCAGAGCT